TCTAGCTTTATAGTTACCATTTCATTACATGACCAGTGTGTCACCTCTGCTTCGAAGAGGCTCGCACTGGCTCTTCTATCTATATGTCATACTCCTTCCCGCATAACATGGCATTGAAACATACCGCGCAATGCCCGCCTACACGAATGATTCGTAAACAATTACTCATTTCTTAAGCTTTTTCGTGTGAGATCGGTATTTTGCGTGGATTGAACTTTGGAAAATGAAGAACAAATGCAAATTTGAACAGGTTTTGAAACTTTTTTTGGCTTGGTAGTCCCCATAAGGACAATAGTTATCGTGAGCTACATCTCTATGCAAAAATCTTCTCAAATGCTCAGGTAAAACCACGGCGGATTGACCATTTACGCGACCATTTCTTTTTGGCGTCGGTTTCTTAAAGTAGCAAACCTTTGATCACTTTTTGGTCTACAGTCCATGGCTTACACATCAACCTGCTAAACACATCCACGACTTTGCAAAAAGCGTTGATACGGACCCAATTTTGCGGGCCAGAAGCCAAGTGGATCCGTTTGGCGCGCAAATTCTGAGGGACCCACTCAACGAATCCGTTCGTGCTTTTGCATGCTGGAGTTCTACCTTGGTAGCATGCGCTATGTAAAGTTTGGGCTCGGGATGGTGGCTGGATCGCGCTGTATGAATTTCGTTACAGACAGACAGACAGACACACACACAAAGTCACGTAAACACCCTTAGCCCGTTATTATAAGTTATGATTATTGCTGGCTCATCTATTTATCTACAATCTACTTATTCTTCTATTTTTCTACATTCTGATATGTATCAGGCGCATTTTATGTGCAATAAATAAACAAATGAACAATATTTACAGCAGACGTGCACGACTGTATCCAGTTTTGTTATAGGAACATAGTTTTCTTTTCCGAATGGAGCTATTCTGCGGCAAAAATCTCCACCATTTGAGGAAATACGATACATAATAATTCTTTCGCTATCAACATCTCACCTTGCCTCCGATTATTATGGACAATTTTTGCCGACAGATTACGGAAGGATATTTTATGGAAGAAGCTTTGACAAGATTTCACCCTTCGGACTTTCAAATAAAATAGTTTGTGCTTTAAATTCGTATCGTGCAAGCGAAATAGAGTAAAAAAACAAGTCAATAATCTCAGATGTGTGAAAGAGCTTGGATAGTGAGAACGAATTCTTAAAATTCTTTATATACTATATTTTATCTCTTTTGGAGGTTTGTTCCGGCTCGAACATAACATCTTATAGGTATGTTCCAGCTGGAGTCATTGCAATAATGATTTGTATGGAATCGTGGTAGTACCAAAACTCATGGTATTACTTTTTCTCTGCTGTGTGGTGCTTCATATCAAACTCGGTTCTCACGTTCGGCAAATAGTACATTTTCCGAGAAAGCTTGAAATTTTTCAAGAAGTTGAGCGTCGTCGTCGTCATTGCAAGAAAATCAGCATATTAGCGAAAAGTTTATGGAGTTGACAAACAGAAATTTTTTCTTCGTAGTAATTGAGTGGAAATGAGGCCAAAAATTTTTTGAGGAGCGTGAGAAAGGGAAAATAACCTGCATTTTCAAGACTTCCGCAGTTTTCAGTGGGTTACAATATGAAATACAATAATAAAAGAAAATGATAAAATCTGCATGGAATCATATCGTCGGGAGCATATATGAGCATCCCATGAATTCTTTGCCCAAAATAACACTGGCAAGACCTGAATTACAGGTTCAGACTGTAGAGCAACGAAAATGCTGCAAATCGAACTTTCCCAGTAGCAGTAGATGCAAGAAAAGAAATTGGTACTAATTTTTTAAAAACTGTAAAAGCTTGAATTCTACGTGTACAAAGAGTTATGATAAGCATAAAAACATTTGCACTTCATTAATGTAAGAGATCAATTTTTTGGCTCGTTGAGTTATTATGACATGAATGACGAAAACAATCATTTGCTCGAGCACCAAATATCCGCACTCAAACAAAAACTAAATCAGAAAAATTGTTTTTTGTGGACGCGATAGATACAATCAGCAAAAAGAGGGAGAGAACAACATTGGCAGAACACTGTTCTAAGAGTCAGCGACCGGAACAATTAGTTCAATATAACGAGCCGTCATTTTTCAAAGTGTAAAGGCGGAAGAAAAAGAAATCACATAAAAAATGAAAAAGGGTGTGGGCTGTGTTTCCATATGAAATTCTGTTCGCCTCAAAAAAATGGTTCGAACCTGAAAATTCCAATTCACATTTGGAGAAATACAGACGCCTATAAAAAGGGGAGTTCGCTTTTTCAGAATTGTTTTCCTTTCCCACTGCTGCGCCCAAGATTTAATTTATTAAATGACAATCAACAAGATCCCAATACTCCGTTTAAATCACATCGTACCAAGGAAAGCTAATCTGATCTAGTAGCCGCATAGCGGCTGAGAACAAATGTTTACGACCAAAGGGGAGCATGTGTGAGACGGCAGACGATTTATATTTTGTCCATTCGCTCGGAGAACATATCCGACCACGGAAAAGCGCCTGTTCTGTTATGCGATACGTCTTTGATACGCAACTGACCAGCCGACGATGCTTGCTCTGCGTGAATTTTACGATTTATAGTGACCAGCAAGCTTTAGCCGCAGCTGTAGATTTGATGTGGAGAGTGCGAGAACTGGCTCGTAGAGTATTTTTTTGCAGAACATACCTATTTTTTCTGATTGGCACATAAAATAGCTAACCTCCGAACTCAACTTACCAGCGACTTTACTTTACAAAACTGGTGGCGATTTTGATATATAGTACTCGCTTTTTACACAAACGAGTGGTCAAAATAGGTTGTCACATAAGTTATGTTACACCTAACAAAAAAAACTTCATAACTCTGTCAGAGGATCTTTTCCTTACTTTAAAATCATGTGTAATTTTGCGAATTTTCGATATGTTCTTGTCACTCTTGAAAAATTCGATTTCCGAAATTCTCTAAATTTTTCCGATTTATTTTTAGTTTGGAAGCCACACTCGCTCCAGTAACAGTGGCCTCCTCATGTTATACTCACGGCCCTCAAGAATAGAAGAATCATTCCTTTTTACCTTACCGTCGTGAGAAGCTTTGAAAAGACATCGTACACGATGATTTCTCTCGAAAATAAGAAACAAGCTGTACTAATAACAGATCCTAACCTGCACTATCTTACGCAGCCAAGGTTCTCATTCAAATATATCTCAGGTCTGCAAACTGCCACAATCCCTGAGAGTTTCAAATAATAATGTATAGCTTCTTATCAGGGCTTGGCACAAGTGGCTTACGGGCAAGCTGGATATCGTTTTGGAATAAAAAGCAAGGGGGATATCGTTGGAGTGGAAACTCCAGCTCCTCCCCCCCCTCCCCATACAATCGTCTTCTGCCTTCATGTCATCCATCTTCTACAGAAGATCTGCCTTATCGATCCGCAAAAAACAAAAATTTCCTGTTTCAACATGTTCGCCGTTGAGCGCGCAAATTCAAACCTACCTCGAAATAAACAAAAGAGTTGTTTACAGCGAAGAGAAAATGAAATTACACCAAAATTGGTGTGTAGTTGGGCAATAAGGAGTTAGGACTATGTTTATTTAGTTATTCATTTATTTTGTGCATTCATAGATGCTGCTGACGAACGTGGTTAGTGTTTAAAAAAAGCGAAACAGAAAAAGAACAGCCAATCATAGGCGGTGTATCCAGCAGCCATAGTGAATCCGAATTCAGAAAACAGCAAGCTTGCTCACTAATTCAACAGCATACATCATGGTGTGAAAGCCATAAGCGAATCACTTTCAAGCGAATCTAAAGAGGAAGCAAAGCGAATGGGCGAATCCATGCGTGCTCAGCGGAGGCCCTCTTTCAGCTTCCTCTACCATGAGAAATAAGTGAAAGTGAATAGAATAGATGGGATAGCTTGGAAGAATATTGTGTACAATCAAAAGTAGCTTAATTATGTGCGAGAAGTTATGTGAAATGAAGGCGTGGCAAACTTTTTTCGGAGTTAGGTGGCTTTCCAGCCATCTGGACAGCCACCTGAGGTGGCAGTGAAAAGAAAAAGTCATATATTCTTTTTCCTTCATACAATTTCTCCACATCAACATAACCTTGTTCTACATCAAAAAACCTACAACTGAGTTTTTGAATCTCCCTAAACCCCCTCTTCCTCGCTTATTACAGCCCTCCAAATATTTTGTATGGCGGCGGCAAGCCTACTCCAAGCGCGCAAGGGTGCGCGCCGGATAGCAGCCGCCAATTCGGAGAATACGAACAACTCTAGTTTTTTTCGTCTGTTCGATGTTGCTTTCATGTTTAGTTCATTGTTTTTCGTTATTCGTTTTGAACCATTCATGATTGCGTCATAGGTGATGTCGTATATTTGTGGCGAAGTTTACAGGAACTTTGTTTTTGAAAAATTGAAAAAGCCACCTCATGTCGAGCCCTGCTTTATACGTACCATAGTAAACTCAACAATTGCAATTGTGCTCCTGCGGTGCACACAGCACTTGCGCGTGAACGAAATGTATGAGGCGCAAATGGGTATCGTCTATTCTCCACAGTACAGTACAGCGGGCACAGCTTTGCCGACGTTTGCTAACGTATTCGCGTAGCAGATTTTGATACCGAAAGAGTACAAAAACTAATGCTTTGAAATGGAGGTTTAACAAGTTTTACAACTTGTTGAAATGTCTGCAGGGCCACCCCGCTATACGCATGGGGAGCGCCTATAGAGAGTAACGCCCGAGGTGCCGCTTGCGCGAATAACTGCTCCTTTCGCATTAATGTTGTGCCACGTGAGGAAAAATGTGAACGGGGAGGTGCCCAGTCACGGTGTCAGCTAATAATTCATTCCGATATAGCGACTCACTCTGCATCAAAAAATTTGGTTTTCAACTCTACGTAGAGTAATATAAGGTTGCTACGATGATGGACCTCAGATAAATATGACGCTGCACTTTTGCAGTCCCTCGAATCTCTATTAGTTCTCACACATAATAGGCAAAATACTTTATAACATAGAAAATGAAGATTTGGTGAGACATCGGGTCCGGAAACAATCAAAGCGGAGCACAGGTAAAATTTGACTCGTCACGTGTAATGAACAAATAAGCGCTTCCTCTGTACAAGGAAGAATATTATTCTAATCCAAGCCTGTAAAAATTGTACAAAACAAAGAAGATATAAACTCTGCGATCTCCACTCACACTCAGTTCAGATCTGGTTCTTTGGGATCATCACTCCCTTCTGAGCTGTCAGCCTCTGATGGAATCTGAAACCATGAAGTAACTTGATACAGAAATCATCAACTTTTCAGCTATCGTCACCTGCAGCTGTTGAGAGGCTGCCGTAGGTGCAGCGGAACCGCTGGGAGGGTTTTCCGTTGCTGGTACAGAAGGGAGATTATTAGCAGATGCTGGGACAGGAGGAGCCGATGTGGCGTTTGCAGCTGAGGTAGCAGTCTTCGCATTTGCTTCTGGAGCGACTGCAGCACCTTGAGGTAGCGGAGGTACAACTCGTCCCCGCAAAACACGCATCATATTCTGGACTGACACCTTCTGGCGGGTGGGTGTATTCGATGTATCACTTGCTGTAACATTTAAAGGCAGCGTCCAGGCAGATCTGAACCTATGGGGCTTTTAATGGAAAGTACTTTTGGGGCCCTAACTAAGGCACTGCCCAAGCGGCAGCCCAGGTAGTGCTGTAATGGCTGAGATATGCCCCTCGAAACTGGACCCCGCGACCGTGTTTCGCATGGATTCATGGCGCAAAGCGTGGATCCTGGCGCGAAACTGCCATGAATCCATGCGAAACACGGTCGCGGGGTCCAGTTTCAAGGGGATTATCTCAGCCATTAGAGCACTACCTAAACTGCCGCTTGGGCAGTGCCTTAGTTAGGGCCCCAAAAGTACTTTCCACGTAAAAGCCCCATAGGTCCAGATCTGCCTGGACGCTGCCTTTAAAAACAGATCAAATACATTAAGAAACACCATATCTAAGTATTACGACACTCACAATCATCAGCATGAGCTGCTGTTTTTCGCTTTGCTCTGCCTTCCGGATTGATGCAGATGCAAGCCTAAACATTTATTGAAATAACCTACATTATGGTCATTTTTCCCACCTGCTGCATGACTGCACGCAAAATAGCTGCTTCGCATCGCTCTATCATGTCGTCGCAGCCATCAATAATCCTACAAATAACTGGGTAGCTTTTATATCACTGGGTAGAGACGATGAAGAAGTTGAAGATTCCAGATTTGAAGCAACCAAAGTATGAACCTATTTCCGTGGTAAAGTCATGTATGTAAGTTCCCTGTTTTCTTATAAGTCAACGAATCTGACAAATTTCATGCAAAGAAAGTTATAAATATGCAACCCAATCTCGCTATGATAATTGGGTCATCAATAACTACTGTAAGATGTCAATATCACTGAAAAGTCCGAATTCGCAGAACATGTGACTATTTCCAAAGAATGGAGTACAATAAGAATTTTAGAATTTCAGAAATGATGAAAAAGCCATAGAACTCCCAAGATACTGCAGTTTGTTATAAATGCACACAGATAAGCACCTACTTTTTGTAATTCTCTTCACGCTCATCGGTCAGGACCATGCGAATGGTTGCTCCAACTGCGTCAATTCGAGCAGCAAGTTGACCTTGTTCACAGAGAGCCACAAGTTCATTTTCGAGCTAAACATCAGGTTATGAGTCCATGTTGCGTATAATGTGCGAAGACCAAAAACGACAAAGGTACGAACACTTTTCAAATCAGTTCTAAACACATTCGCCATAGCATTCAAATCAGCTGATGCAAACGGTTCCAGGTATTGCAGTAGTGCACGTTCACGAATCACGGCGTACAATGGATCAACATGAGGACTCAAATAAGGATCGAGAAGGAACTGAAGTATAGCGTATACAAAAGTTAAATAAGTGACTCAAAAACAACTGGTACCCGATCTTTCATCTCTTTCAGTATGTCTAGCGCGCGACCAAACTGACTCTTCACAATGCACTGCAATAATTCCACGAGCCTCGGTTCTGACTCGAGGAACTTCCTGCAAAGCTTCTAAATCACTGAACAGGAACAAAATAGAAGGACTGAGTTCGAAAACTTGAAAGGAAAAAGAAAGAAGCGCAAACCTGCAATTTCCATCATGGATCACTTTCTTCTTCAGTTCTGACCTATCATAACTAGCAATTGCACAAAGGGTACAGTAAACTGCCATATCTGAAGCAGAAAACAACCAAGGAGTATCCAAAAAGTCCAAGTCGACCTATAAATATACAGTAAGAAACCTGAAGGGAGCAATTGCGCTAACCTTGAGGAATCTGTCAGCTGCTTGCTTGTAGCGACCTGCCTGCATTTTCGACAAGCCACAAGCTGCATCTAGTTTTGCCTAAACGAACAGAGTTTGTGCATACATCAAAATGGAAGAGAGTCCCCACTCACCCTGCCACCGCTGATCAGCAAGCGCGTACACTTGGTGACAGCAGCACGGTTTGTGTTGGATGAGGATACTCCGAAGATCACAGGACGAGTACGAGAAGCAGCCATTGATCCTGCTTGCTGTAGATGAAATTAAAAGCTATGAGAAATCAATGCTGAAAAGAAGTTAAATCTTACCGACTCTGCTTCTTCCGCCTCTTTCATACTGCGCTCGGCCTGTGCCGCAATGGTGTCAACGCGCTGCCATTCACCAACCCATATGGAAGCTTCCATCCAGTTGATCCACATCTACGAAGAGTAACGATGATTCAAGGGGTAAACATAAAAAGTCAAGCGTGTGCTTCACCTGAATTATGTGCTTAAACTGACTGCAGTACTCTCGCATTCCACGACTGTAAAGATGGAGAGCTTCTGTAACGTCACCTATTGAGATATAGTACTGGAATAGCTCATCCATAGCGCGTCGTGTGGATTCCTAAACATTCCGGATGCTCAAATAAACTGTAGAGGTAAAACAGGTAAGGACAATAACCAATGCAAAATAGATATATGGGAGTATATGTAAGAATGCATAATTAGATAATTGAAGACAGCGTCTCGGCAAAACTTCGCTGTTCGGTTCTTCACGTATTTGAAGTCTTCTTGCCGTCAGAAACATATGTCGGTTTTCAAGGCATGGAAATAGCGAAAAGGAGCCTTCTTCGAGGTTTTCCAGGTCCGCATTCAGTAAAGTACGCCAGAAGTTTTAAGCATCCCTCCTCCTTCGTTTCGGACTCCACCGCCAACATGTATTTTCCACTGAATGCAAGCCTGGAAAGCTTCGAGAAAAGCTCGTTTTCGCCATTTTGCTCTGAAAAGCCTAATTATGGGTTTTCATCGTTGCCCTCATCGCATGAAGAACGCAGAGTTCTATCCATTTCACATGGAGAACCGTATTGACGTGATGGGAACTAAAGAGATGAATGGAAAGCAAAAAAAGGGAAGCAAAAATTTGAGCACCCAGTGCGAATGACGGGTATCCAAAAAGTTGTATTAGCAGACTGTTTGAAACGAAAAAGATAACATCACAAACAGGAAAGCATGAAGACAGCTTTCAAAGAAAGCAGTTGAGTCGCAAATTAGTCGAAGAAAGTCTAATAAAAAGTAATGAATGGCAATAATATCAAAACCAATAAAGACGCAAGTTAAAGTGTCAACTACCTTAACTCCCTCATCCTTTTGCTTCTTGTATTCGGAAAGCAAGAAATCTAATTGGTTGGCGGTTTTCAAGGTGGTCTGATCTACCCAAGCTTGATCGAGCACAGGCGTTTCCAGATGATTCTAGAATCATATGCCTGCTCTATAGTTGTTTTATATGGGTAAGAGGAACAATCAAAATTGAGGTACCTGGTCGTCTGCCTGCTTTTCAATCGTTTCCAAACTAGCCATCAGCTCCGAATATCGCGCAACGTTTAGCGTGTTCTGGAACACATTCTCTCATAGGTGAGACAACATAAATTCTCAGGGTCAAAGCACTTACATTACGCAGCTCGTTGATCATTCCAATGGTGGCATCCCTTTTCAGGGGCGGGCAGTGATCCGCGATGAATTGCAGCCTTAATTTTGAAGGTTTTGAGGAAAAACAAGCAAGCAAGTAGTTCAAGTACATACCTAATCAACAGTGAATGAGTTGTATATGTTTGGCACAATGTTTCAATATCTACGGCGGCAGCGTTATTGACGACCACCGCAGGTATCACTTTTTGAGGCGATACTTGCGTGACGTCTAAAACAATTGATAGAGACAACCCCAAATGAACTAATTTGCTCACCCATATCGCCGTTCTGGTTTGCAGGAGCTGTATCTTCCGGCACAGGCGTTCCTTCTCTATTTGCAAAACTTTTATCGCCCTGCAAAGATGCCATAGTATGTAACTATAAACGCAAAGGAAAACAAAAACCTGCAATTCTTCTTCCATGTTCGCATTGCCTACGTCGATATCAAAATCGTCAATGGGCTCATCAGCAACCTGCAAAGCATTTGCAAAAAATTAGAGCAGAAAATTCAAGAAAAAAATCTGAAAAGCGAAAACCAAAAAATCAAATCTGAAGACGCATACATACATGGTCCTGGTAATCTGCCTCCATGACATCATCGGGATCTGGGACCGCGTTTGACATCCTAGAATTTCAGCCAAAATGAGCGTTGCCAAAAATGGATAAGTTTCGATTTAGAGAAAAAGACTATCTACTAAATAACGCATATGAGAGCAGCAGTAATGGAAACCCCACTCCCACAATATAGCTGATATATGCAAATTTAAACTGTATCGAGAAAATGATCAATGGAATCGAAATTTATTCCGTAGAAATCAGCTGAAGCGCCAAGCACCAGAATTTGAGTGCAAATGCGTACCATGTCTAACACACGCCTAAAGATTCTCGTGGAGTATCCAGAGGCCCGGCATGGATGGTCTGGGGTCAAATTGGACTTCGTTTTTGAGGTGAAGCAGCTGGGATATCGTTTTTATAAGGTCCTAGGCGAGCGCCGAAAGATTCGAGTCGAACTGTTCTTTCGCAAGCGCGCAAATTTCAAACGCGAGACTCAAACAGACAAATGCTTTTTTACAGCGCACAAACAATCCCTTGGCACCGAATTTGGGCTGTACGCATACATTATTACTCCAAACAGCATTATGTAAAAAGCTTCAAACCTTATGCGTACTAATGCCCGTTCCCGAATTTGTTGGTTTCTAAACCAACACCAAACCACCTGGGTTGGTTTGGAGCATAAATATCGGAGAGTTCACGTAAGTTTTGGACTTTTTTGATTTGGACGATTAGAACGCTCAAAAATCTATCATATAGTGGAGAGAGCGAATCAAACCATTGCCTCTAATCTTTTTCTGAGCCAAAAGTAGTGTAAACCTACGCTTTGGCAGATATCGCGCTTCAATCACATGCGGCGTCCTTTGAACTATGTATGTGGCGAAAAATGCATCGCCAGATTGTCGAGGCCACAATTTTGGTTTGCCTAGGGGGTTTTCGACATTCTGATTCAATGACAGAGCCTTCAATCAACTCACAATGGTTATCTTGCTTTTTTGTTATATCAGCTACCTCAAGATGGCTTTTTTCGCTTTTTTATTGTTATGTTGGTTCAACAAGGGTTTCCCTATCGATTTTTACGTCAAATGGGACTTCGTAAATATCGCGAAGTCATGAGGGACTTCGTTTCCAGAAATGCTACAAACCAACGCGTGCCGGGCCCTGGTCCAGAATCAACCGCGTGCTTTGGCGCTGATGAGGAGGACTGGAAAGCAGAGCAACAAACGAAAGGTAATTTATCTTCCAATGCACAGCGTTATCCCAGTTTTTACGAGGAAAGCTTGCGTAGTAGCACCTTGCTGCAAAGATTTTACGCTTGTGCAATAAGTGACTTTTTCAAAAAAGTAAAATACTTCTGATTAGGCTTTTTATAGTACCCCTAAAAACCGCTTGAAAACATTCTTGAGAAGAAAAGACGAATGACAAAAATATAAAAAAATCTTTTCCAAAACGTTCAGAAAGATTGTCAGTTAGTTTACTGATCTGGGAAGCTACAGTAAATATTAGAGATGGTTCAAACAAGACAAAATATCCGCTAAAAGAATTCGTGAATCATACTGTTCGTACACACATCAGATGAGCACCAATCTCTTGGTCATAATACTATAAATAAATACTAGAAATAAAAATAAAAAAATATAAATACTAGAAATAAAAATACTAGAACGTAACACTAAGCGAAAAATAAAGTCATTTTGGGCTCAATCAATTTCTAACGCCTATTTTGAAAAAATACGATCTGATTCTCTTCATTAGCTTATCCACCGCGAGCCTGCAATGGTTTTTATTTTAGACCCCACCAAAAAGTGCATGATTTTCTTCCCATAACAATGGCGACGCTATTTATGCAAATTTTGATAAAGAAAGAGGTGGCGTTGACGTTTCTAAATAATTCTTGGGATGCTTTTCACAGTTCTGACGGGCCCACAACCCCAAAATCTCGAGGAAGGGGACGTGGCGCCAACCATGCCCAAAAATTTTTTGACAAATATAATTAAAATCTTCAAAAATTTTCTCAAAATAATCGTTTACAAATGAAACAAACACTTGCGCACTTTCATAACTCATTTAGGCTACCACGACATTTCATGACTCTTTTTGGGGTGAGGGTTAGAGAAAAGGCTTGGAAAGTTCTGTCGTCTTCCATGATGAACAGCTGCAAATTCACCGGCCTTCAAGGTCAAGTAGAAACCTATTTCTGTAACGTCGAAATTATAATACGAAGTTCATGTCAATGGTTCACCAAACTTCCGGGTGTTTCGCCTGAGGCATGCTGATGCAGCACAAAATGTTGAGATGATAGTTTGAACTTTTTTCTTCTGCAGCTTGGGCATACCTTTGATAAAGTCATGGCTCCTTTTGCAAATTTCACATAGGACTTTCCGGAAGTCATTCATTGGTTTCAAGCTATTAAAAGTGGAGCTAAGATGCGATTTTTGCTTTAGAGGGTTTCTGAGTGCTTCTTAAATTTTATCCTGGCACCCAGCAAATTTCGGAAAAAAGGCGTGGCGGTATAGAGTTTGATTCTAAAGTTCATCAATCTTTCTTGGATATTTGCAGGTTGTAGCGAGATGTGCATATCTTCACAACTTACATGGCCCCTCTCCAAAAATTCCCTACTATTTAATTTACCCATACGCAAGCAGAAGCGCTCCCCTGTTCTTCCGCTAGCTCACACTGCACTGGGAGAATTTTATACTTTGACTCGAAAAAGCACTGGCTTGCAGCCCTTCCAAGATATGGTCCCTTAAACTATGTGCTCTCAAAGAGAAATTTGGGCTGCCTTGGCCGAGTGGTTAAGCGTAAGGTCTCGTAAGAGCAAGTGGTAGTTAATGCCCTGGTTCGATTCCTGCGAACATGATGACGATAAAAGGCCGAGTGTTAGCGTGTGGATTACGTACCTTATAGGTCCCACACGCGATGCCTAGAACAACGCGATAACACTGATTCGCACAATCGAGCCATTTCATCAATTGCAATCGGCTCAACCCAAGAATTTTCTATCTTCTACAAAAAACTAGTGGTTCAAAAATTTCAATGTCCATAATTGCCTCAATCACATTAAAGACGGCTAAGCAAATAAAGTAGTTCTAAGCTAAATGCTTTCAGCATTAGCTTTCTACACCCATCCGTGCAGTACTTTCTATTAGGTTGTCCGGAAATTGATGGAGGTTTTGCAAATTCTCACTTCAAAGCGTCATAACTCCTTTGAGATTGCAAATTTTGAAATGAGGTAAAAATACTGTGATCAGCGAGTCTTTATCTATCTAAAGCATGCCCAACTATTTCTGTAGCTCCAACAAGCAAATTATTGGAAACTAGAAAGTAAGAATGTTTTTCTTTAACAAGGTCATATTTGGCAAATTGTGAACTCCTATCAGTTGTGAGTGTTCAGAGAGAAACTTCTGCAGCTTATAGTTACAGACCAGTACTACATATATAGCTATGCAGAAATTTTCAAAGGAATTTTCTGCAAAAGAAAAAATTACGGAATCAAAATTTTCCATTTTTTCGATATTTCCTCCATGGACTCTCCGATAATTTTGATTTTTTTATTAACTCAACAAAAATAAAGCCTGAAAGGTACCAGTTGAGATAATATCTGACGGCACTGGCCTCACTCTTCAAGCACGAGGAGAAACTTTCACGGTTGCTTTTTTTAGAAAAGTTTTCTACTCCATGGAGTCGCCGCGACAATTATCATGACTTATAATAAGCGGCTTAATCTGAAGTTGTGTGGAGTTTGTCCGTTACGAAATTACAGTGAGGAATGATTTACGATACTAAACATCATGTGAGGTTAAGATAGCGAGTATGGTTCATTTTTAACTACGGCTCACTTTGCAATAAACCGAACAATGATTTGAGAGACAAGCTCTCAAAAAGTGAGTTTACCACGGTTCACGATGCCAGTGCGAACCTCTGCGAAGCAGAGGTGAAGCACTGGTTTATGATAAAGCCTCAATTTTCCCGCTCTCACAATAGTCTTAAAGTAGTGCTACTATTTATTTGGTAGGTTCGCTCGATATCTTGCTTCAACTATCTTATGGATTTCCCTTCTTGCCGAATGAGTTCAAGCCAAAATAGTGCAAAAGATAAAATTTGTGATCCAAAGCTTCATCTTCGGATGGTTGTAGATTTTGAACCAATGAAGTCGATCGTAGAAGTAATACATATAGGAGAGAGCATGAAGAGGGGTTTCTTATAGTATGCGAAGTTGGTTGAAAGATGCACATATACAAAAGAACGACCCTTTTGAAAATGCATTTGCAGAAACCTGCATTAATTTCCGGACAACCTGATAACTCGAACTTTCATTCAGAAATACTAAACGTTTCACCAAAGCTATATAGTCGTTAGCTAAAAGCTTCGTATCTGGTTTCTTTGCACTGATTTTTAAGTATTCATTCACAAAATTCGAACGAAAATTGTCACGAAGCAAACCCAACATTCACTGGAAAGATGGTAAGCTTCATATGCAGTTCAGATGCCAGCACTACGCTGAAAATCTCGTTTATGTCTCATCCAGAATCAATCCAAAGATTGAGAAGCAATGGAGACAGGTTCAAGTAGTCCAGGGAGCTGCTGTTTTCTGCCAATGGTCTGAGGACAGCAAAACAGTTCGTGATTCCACAGTAATATGCAGTTATTTGAGAAAGGTTCAAATTTTCATACAATTTTAATACCTGTCGTTCTAATCTTTACCATTTACCTCAAATAGGGCTGACCCTATCATCCGCGCCTATATTCGATATAGACGTTTGATGCTTTTAGCTGCGTGTTGCTCAATTTTCAAACACATACGATTCATTCAAAAAATCTACAAAACGAGATTTTTACATATAATTTTCAGTTATAAATCAACGCTACGATAACAGCACTGCTTCTATGAAATAGCATCTTCTGTTATTTCTCTCGACGGAATTACACGATAACCAGCGTCGCCGACCATCTGTAAGAGCCATGAGTGACCCGTCAAGTCGTGGGATGATGACGAGGATCAGCTGTCGTCACTTTGCGCATCCTCATAAGGACATGCTCTGTCCTTGTTGCCACTATCAATACCTTCAACGATATCCGCATAGTGTCAGGCTTCAAACCGTTCTTGTCGGCTTGTTTGAAAAATTCTTTGCAATCTTCGGTGTCTTTTTCACACGGAAGAAATTGCAGAATCAACTTGTCGGATCGAGCAGGCCCTGTAATTTGCAGAAAGGATTATAAAAAAGTGAAGAGCTAGTAGAAGAATTATGTTGCACAGCCCTCGAGAAGCAAAGAGAACTTTTCAAATGAAAATCATGGAGTATGTTGGTTTTTACTACATCATCTGTGTTGGATAAAAAATTATGCACATTTTTGAGAATTTTTTAACTTCTTGCTCTCTCGAGGGTTTGTACATATCTAATTTTGCTAGATAGAAAAATCCACCAGGAAACCAATTTTTGTCGCGATATCTTTGCTGCCCTTTGACAAGTGTGACCTTTTAAAATAGAAGCAGGAGGAAAATCTCTTGAAGATTCTATGTCAGGTTGCAAAAACTGCGATAAAATTCAGTAATAGAATTTCCTTGATCTACCTTTCATGACTGGGCAGAGTTTGTGTTATATGAGCATCTTTGTGAACAGTTATGTTTTGAGTAAGCTCTACAAAACAGTAAAATTTGATTTTTTGGCATTTACTTCTGAAATCGTAACCCTGCAAACAGATGTTCATGTAATAAACTGCAATGTCGGAAAGAGTGGATTAAAAGACTTATACTACAGCTTGCTCCAAATCTGAGCGCAGATTTCAGATGTTTAGCAGTTTAACTTAAAATATGCGAACCTGAAGCAATTTTGTTCTACTGCTTCTAACTCAGAATCTGCCCCTCATTAGAGAGTAGTAAAGACGTTTTTACAAGGAGAAGGGTTTTCTATCTAGCAAAACTAAGTGTGTGCAAATTCGTCGAGAGCGGAGTTATCACTTTCCAAAAATGGTGCACAAACTTTTGCATCACAATCCACATTCTCAGAGCTTCTAAAAAATACTTTATGATTGAATTCATATATTCTGACAGTCAGAAAGGAAAAAGAGACTTTGACTACAGAGTAGATTATATATAGTAGGAGGTGCGAAAAAATGCAGCAATGATCCAATTTGTCTTGGCATTTAGGCAGCGGAAGTTTTTTATATCTTCTATCCAGGTATTTTTAATTAAACTCCTTGACAAAACTTCCTCTTTCAAGTACTCTGCCTACCAGCATTCCTCACGACGACGAGATTTTGGCACTGTCCTGGCTCTATAAACATCGCACTTGGTGAAACCCGATAAAGGGTATTGTTACTGCATCGAATCTGAAATTTGTGGTAGTATTTGGAAATGACTGCTAGTGTGAAGCTCACCTTTACGGCGAGCCGTTTCTCTCCAAGATTGACAAGCATATGATCGGATTTGCCACCTGTGACATTGAAGTAGGCGCTCTGAACATGATTAGAATAATTTTCATACTCTCTTGGTGATCATCAATTCATTGAGATATTCTGAGAGCTCCCCCCCCCCGAGTAAAATTGCGAAATTAGCCGGTTACAAAATTGCGCAAGTGATTATTTCAAAGAAACTTTTTTTGGGACTTAGGGAGGGTCATTCTTCGTCGAAAAAAGCCCAGAAACGCTCAAAAAAGCCCGAAAAGCCGAAAAAAGCCTGAAAAAGCCCAAAAAGCCCAAAAAAGCCCGAAAGAGCCGGAACGCAGAAACGAAATTATGGGAAAATTCTGACTTTTTTTTATGTGCAAACGACAGAAAATGAAGCAAAAAGACTCAGTTGCGAACAACGCCATGCCCTAGCGTCAAAACGCAAGAGGGCGTTCCCGCTTTTCTGGCCTTTTGGGCTGTCTCGGGTTTTTTGGGCTTTTTTCGGCGAAGTATGACGGGTTCCTTAGGATTACAGGTCAAAATCAAAAATTATCCGAAAATACATTGTGGAATGCGTCCGGACCGTCCCCGTCTCCCCTCCTTCTTGTGAATGAATCTTATGAATTATTATCATGCACAATCCCACATGTTTACGAAACTAAGGTTGCTGCCACTGCAAGATTTTACAGATTCTTTTTCATGTGCAGTACCACTCAGTCAAAGGAGATTTCCTAAAGGTTTTCTGCTATTTAAGAGTTCAAGCAAAAGAGAGAAGAGGATTTTATAATTGCTCTATGTAAGAAGTGATCTTGAGTAATTACAATATGTTCTGGAGAAACTCTTCGACAGAAAAGCGCTTATGTTGGCAATGGGCCCCAATTTCGAAAAACTTATGCATGCCCTACAGTTTGCTCAAGTTTTTGAAAATTACACGCGGTTCCATCCCCTGCGCTTCCATTGCGAGTGCGTGGCGAGTGAGCCGTTGTTTACCGCTCAGTGCAAAAATAATTAGTTTCCAAATCTCGCACCTTGGGCAGAACTGTAATTACGGCAAACCCATGTTTTCCATCTAAAAACGATTTTGAAGGATATTTACCACGCTCGTGCCAGGCCGGGATCGCAATCCGAAGCGAGTGCAAAATTCAACGTGCGTAATGTCACGCAAGTCATATACACGATTGAATTACTCAGCAATAGCGCAAGTTCGCTAGTGTTTTACGCCTGACTGGCTTTGTAAACAAGCTGATGGGAATGAGAACAAAAGTCATCCCATTGTCTAAATGCACTAAAAGCTTGAAAATCAATATTAAAAACAATTCTAGGTGGATAATTACGATGTTTTGGCCTGCCAAGTGCACGAAGTGCACTTGTGCATACAAAACATTTTCAGCGTTTATTTCCTTTTTCTACAAAACATCGAATGTGGCTTTAGACTAAGTGCAGTGCCTTTTGGGCAGGCTTTAAGTTTAGGTTCGATTCAGGAATCTGAAGCCTCCATGCATAGTGCTCACGGTTTGCCCCCTGATTCTCGATAAGACAGCTGTTAGGAGTTCTTTGCATGCCACCCATCTTGCACTTCGGTTGTGATAATTAATCACGATGATCGTGTCGAAAAACTATCACAATCGAAATGCAGGAAGATCCACATACAATGGGATCGTAACAGTTGTCGTGTTGGCAGAGTCGCGAGGCCATGAAATCGCGTGAACTATGCCTGAGACTTTGAGAGTATGTTTCAACTTACAGACCAACCACAGCGCAAAGCATGATTGAGAATAATGCTATCAATTTAAGGCACCCAAGTTCATTTTGTACCAATAACCTGTAGAGGTTGGTGAATATTCTCAAGCCATCTGTAAATTAATATATAAGGCTTTATGCGCAGCAACCGAGAACTCTCATAATTTGCGCAAAGCTTTTAAGCGTAACAAACCGTGCAAATATGGGTTACTACCGATACGCATACAATTTGAGCAAAAGAAGCAGAGAAAACGAGAGTTTATCGGAATTGAGCAGGTTCCTGATCTTACAAATCATCAAGTACGCTTTATGATCTATAAATAGTATAAAAAGCTACAATTGAATCGACAATGTGTGAAAAACATTTCGGTTCACTCAGAGCTGAGCACAGAAGTTCAAGTGGAACTTACATCAGGGTCAACGGAAAGACTTTTCTCTGGTTTATCCTTGTCACTTTTCATGCTCGGAGTATCCGCCCTGGTTTCTTTGGCATTCATTGTTGCACCTGTAAACGTAAGTAATCAGGTCTGAGCAATTTGGCGAAACAAATCTTGTTTTTAGAAGACTCTGAGAAGCAGAGATCGTCCAAAAAACCAAGTCAGAAGTTGTGAGTAAATTTTTTTCTGGTGATGTTACTTCGCATTAGTTGTTTTCTTTTCGCATGGCGTATTTCACAGCCAAGGCGTCTATGCAACTTTGTAAGTGCAAGTTTGGAAACAATAGATCCAAATTTTACGAGCGTGAATGCTGAGCAGTGAAGCTAACTCACTCTTGTATGCAGCCTTCCTGGCCTAAACCAATCTTAGAAAATGATACCCACTTCCGCAAAATGTTTGTTTTTCTGGTTGAATTATTCATTGCTGGTAGTTGTACATACTCAGACACGTTAGTTACTCTCACTCGAGACAGTAATCGATGGAAATGTCCTCGTTACCCAAAAAGACCCGAACAAGTTATTTCAGCCTTTGCAAAAAAGCTACTGTGGCTCATGAGATCGTAAGGAATTATAAAGCGACAGAGCTACCGGGATTGTGACTAATGATTTTTTCTCAGATTCGCTTCAGAACTCCAAAGCGGATGTTGCCTGTGAGATAGGAATTTGTAGATAGGGTCCAGCAAAGCATGTAAATAGAATGGAGGAGGGAAAAACGTAAGGAAACTGGTGCACATATGATTCATATAATCAGATTATTGGATGCCCCGCATTTGCAATAGCCCCTCCTTCCGCTCAAGCATTTCAGCCTCCACCTGCCGGATCGCCGGGACAGCGAAGAGGGAAATAATTTATAAAGTGAGTAACGTTTAAAAAACGTTTTGAAAGCATGTAAGGCATGTGATTTGACTGTCTTTGTAGTGAAGAGGCTTGAATCAGCAAATAAGTATATGAGAATGTCGACGCTCAATACGTAGGGGGGAAGGGAGGAGAGTAGAGGGGGTGCGAATAATGTGAAGTTCATGGGTGGTTTTTAGGCTCCGATCCTGAATACGCAATACGCCTCCTAAATATCTAAGCCCTTTTAAGGGAATTTTTTCAGTAAGCTCTTTTAGAAAACCTACTATTAGATTCTCTAATTTACAAGTTACTGAAATATTCTTGTATGGTTTGAACTTTTTCGATTGTAAAGTCGGAAGTAAAAAAAAACTTACCCATTCGTATGGTTAGGGAGCGGTTCCTTCGACGAAACTGGAAGCGGGTTACGCCCATGATACTTTTCATGCATACCTACATTCGCACAAATGGTCTGGCCACTGAAAGGAAAGGGTGCTGCCAGGTAAACAACTTCGATAGGGAACTTTCATAATTACCTGTTTGTCGCGTCCACCTTCTCAAATTCTGCGCAGGTTTGCCAATAAGGAAACGGTTACACTTGTTTTCGACACAGATCTCAGGTCATTCGCTAGTAAACAATTTGAAATAATTATTAAAAGAATGGGAGGTGCAACCCAGAGGGAAAAGTCGTAAAGTAAAGGAAAGCATTTAGTTTCTTTTATAATTGTCCTTTTGGAGATACGACAGCCCTTTTTGGTCTTAGCAAAAAACGATCAAGGGAAAAGAAGATGGACACCACAAAGAATGATGTACGCTACAAAAACAGAAGAATGTTGGTGTTTCTCAAAATTTCGATTTATTTTGTACTGTAAATTCAAGTTGGAACCAGTCTTACAACTGGCTAACCAAAGATCCGGGAAAGCATCCAGACATGCCATTAAACGTTCCATACATTTTTGCGACATCCTGTACTAAACTATGCTTACTCGCAAGCTTCGCTTTTCATACTTATGTATCAAATAGATGATCTATCACGTTGAGAAGGTACCCCCAAAAACTTGTCCTATCCATGAGACCATCTTCCAATCAATAAGTAATTTTGTAAACACCAAGGCTTTATTGCCTTATTGTCAGTAGTAGTGTACTACGTTTCTTCTAGATGAGGCTAATGAAAAAAGCATTCATAATCAAGTAAAATCCTTGACCGGCGAAGTTTTTCACGTTATCTGATACGGCTTTTTATGATGCATGAAACAGCTAGAACAAGAACGCCACCCTTCCTCAAAAATGTTTAACACATTGACGACAGCTTGACACACATGGTGTGTCAAGCTGTCGTCAATGTTTTTGAAATGAACTCACTCCATAAGCTTTCTTTTGCAGAGGATCTCTGGATGACTTCTACCTTTTCTGTCAGCCTTTCAGATCTACTGTAGGTGTACTGTAGATGGCAGTATACGTAATTACAGTTGAAAAAATGGGTTGGTCCGTAAAAGGCCTTGGTCCCAAATGGCAGACAACTAAAAATCTGCATGGTCTTCAATGTGTTAATAAGAAATAGCCAAAAATGGTATTTTTAAAGTTCGAATCTAGCACCTTTTCACCATACTTTCATTCGAAAATAAATTCAAATTACTTTGTTACCTAAACATTCGTGGACATTGCAAACTTTTTTACGACGTTTAAAGGCACGTCCACCCTAAGTTGAGGGAGCTGAGCTTCTGGCAGCATATAATAGTAGGGCCCCCCTATCTATCCAATACCCAAGTCGTAGCGCAAAATGCCGCTTCGGAAGCGAGAAAATCGCTTCGAAATAGCGAAGATACACGAGGACCCCCATCCATGCCCGCCCATTTGTGCGCGCCCATCCAATCACCGTTCCGGAAAGCCGGCCTGTGGGTTCTCCGGAACGGGGATTGCCGGGGTTTTCGCGCATTCTCACTTCATATTCGGAATCAGGGACATGAGAAGGCCTGAAACGATAAAAACGTGGACGTCGAAAATCTGAGTGGACGGTGCCTTTAAGCCTAGCCGATTTGCACGTTGTTCTTCTGAAAAAAAATTTATAAGTTTACATACTTCAAACCCACAAATATCGCTCAAAAAGTCTGAGTTATTGAAAAAGTTGGTGAGGTCGCTGCTTAATACTAAAGTCGCAGTCGAGCCTGTCAAGATGCCAAAGAATCAGGCTAAATCTCCCACTGACTTCTTGATAAGTCAACAGTGCAAGTCTCACGATCACAATTTAGTTAAAAAATTACGCAAGACTCTTGCGCCAATACAATTTCGCGACAAAACTTGGGCACAACTGTTTAAACTGTCTTGTTTCAACTGTTTCAACTGTCTTGTTTCGCTTCAAAGGCGAAACTTGGGCCGCATGCACGGAGATCCGGTAAGCGGCAAACGTTGAAGGGCTCGTTAGCAGTGGAGCAGGCCAGCGCAACCCTTAGCCATAATCGGCAATCGGATGAAGTGAATCAATTTTTTTTTGCTTCTCTCTGTTTAGAGGCTTCTTTTTTCTGGTTTTCTATCAATACAATGACATAGGAATCTAGCCATATATTTGAGAACTTATTCTTCTCTTAACCTTTCTGATCTTCGGCTCTTTGACAACTCTGATATGTGTTCTGAAAGAGACTTTGCACTTTGCACTGCTCTATTGCTGCCATTTTTTGTCTGTTACAACTTTTCGCGTGTGAAAACCAGCGGCCAGATTCATTAATGGTCCGAGTAGGCTCGGTTTCTGGGTTCGTTCGGCTATCTGACATTTGTGGTCTCACGACCAGTTGGGTAGGCTTATCCGGGGTGGAACCCTATTGGACTCAGAATACCGTCTCATGGGATAAGCCTACCCACTGGACTGTTGATGAAGGCGGCCAAAGTGAAAGCATAGCAAGTCAGTAAGGACTAAGAAGCTGAGACAACTGCACCCCAAAAACTCGGTATCACCCAAAGCATTGTTTGTGGACTACCCACTATTATGAGGAACACAGCAACCGTGTAAAAGTAGTTATTGTTACTTCGCGATCATGCACAACATCTATCGAGACTAGCTCTAGGCTTGCAAAGAGTCGCTAGAGATGCAGTGCGGACTATGAGCTCTCCACTTTTGTGTCGAGCTTTCCGCACTTCAGCATTATGGTCAGAATAGATATTCAGCCTTAAAGGTTCTTTTTTAACAATATGTATTCCAAAATGGTAATTTTGCCAAAGAGTAATGCGATATCTTATATATAAAGCTGAATGTCTGTCTGTATGTCTGTATGTCTGTCTGTACGTATGTGCGGAATAAAAATTTTTATTTCTGAACCGATCGGGACCAAACTTGGCACACATATACTTCGGGGCAGGGAGCGTGTCATAGGCTACTTTTCGTTATCGATCGATATCGATTTTATCGATTTTTTGCAAAATTTGAGCTACAGGGCTGGGAGTTGGCACTGAGGGGTAATCGAGCATGCTGATTACAAATATATTATTGACAGGCCCGGGTTTGCCAACTAGTTGAGAATAAATGTGACTGGAAGGAAATTTTTAGAGCAGAAAAAAAGACTCGAGCGCTTTTGCCAAACAAAGTTAGGGGTAACATAAGTATCAACTACTCATGTCATCTCTCTCTTGCCCAGTGATGGACGTTCAGGTCAGAAACAATGTCTGGTAGGTAGAAGTAAGGAAACTGAATCAGAATCGAGATGAAGTAAGACTGTGATAAGCTGGATTCGCGAGAAAAAAATTGATTGAGTAGCCATCCTAGCTTGAACATCACATGAAACGAGATATTATTAGGTTGCTGCATAAGTTCTGTCCGATTTGAATTATCGAGTTCAAAATGTCATAACTTCTTTCAAAGTCAACTTTTTTCCAAGATCTTAGTTTCTTATGATGAGTAGTTCCTTGGCTATCTACATATTGAGACTTGCAAAAATCTTTGTTAAGGAAGAAGCAAGAACTCAAAAACTTCACAGCGTTTTTCTTCAAACCTGTCTTTTTTGACATGGCAATGCTCCCTTATGAGAATTGATAGACATCTTTTCTAACAATGGATAGATAGAGAATTTTTCGTAAATTTATTTGCACCACAAAAGAGCCCATAGGGTCTTTGTTGCCGAGAGATTTTTTTTTGACCGAACAAAAAATTAGCCACTTTTTGACCTCGCTTCAGCGCATGTGTGCATGCCTATTTACAAATTATGAAAATTTTACAACTGACGTGAGCGGCGAAAAGGAATTGGTGGATGAGTCCTGATAGCTCTTGCTTTACCCTAGCACCTTCAACTTTGAACTCGTCGATTACTTCTATTCGCAGAAAGTTATTGCTTGTAAAACATCAATAATAAAAATTAATGTTCGACAACAAATTTTACTAGCAAGACGTTTTCTTCATGGAACTGTGCTTCTGCATATACTAGCCTTCTACACCCTCATTCCGCAACCAATGAAAGAACTTGACTTGAAGGGCGCATTGTGGAGATTTCCTTGCAAGAACATATTTCTAGAGTGAGAACGTACCTCGACCACTTGGAGATTTTAGGACTGCAATGTCGTTACGCTAAGAAATTTATTGAAATTTGATATGCATTAGAAAGAGCAAGAAAAGCACTTTCCAGTGATACTAAGAGTACCGCATTAGAGATGAAATTCTCTTAGAACAGCTCTTTCAAACATAAGGCAAAAAAATTCGGACAGGACTTATGCAGCAACCTAATATTAGCTGTAAGACACCAAGATAGCTGACACCAAGATACTTGACAAAGGTAGACGATTGCCACCTACGGCTGGAGGGTTGCGCTGACGCGCTCCATGACTGACGAGCCCCTCAACGTTTGCCGCTTATCGGATCTCGCATGCACGTACATCTCTGAGAAGGGGAGGGGAGCTGAGAAGGGACGCATGATATCTCGCTGTCTTGAATATCTGTATTTACTTTTCTCTGGCTATCTTATGAAGGTTCTCATACGCTGACACCTGAACATAATGGATGCCGGACATTTGCCAAACAAACTGAGGTCCTCATATTTTGCGTGATCCCCTGAAGGGTCCCCAAAGCATGGTTGACAGGAGGAAGGGAATGTGAAGTTTTTGAGTTTTCCGATAAACTTATGCTCGCGGACAGTGGTTTATTAAAGACTTCGAGATCCTGAAAGTTCAGTATCCTTACTACAAACATGCTAGGTGCCTTTATGCATCCTCATACAACATTAGGAGTTTTCCTTTGAGTCCTGATAGACAGAAAAAGCATGATTTTCAAACATGATCAACTTGATTACAAAAGTGAAAGAAGTGAGCTCTCTTGTATTCGCTGGTGGAGTCGTGAATTCACTGAGCGTTTTAGTTTCTTCACCTTACTCGACCGTAGTATTTTCAATTTTCTGAACAGATTCGTTTCTTGGTTACGACCCAACCCCCTTGCTCTTACCCCCCAATACGACCCTTCAGGTCGGGCGCGCCCGA